GTAATCCGATAACAACCGATCTCTTTACCCGTCGGCTTCCCGTGGCTGACATGCGACCGGCTATTGCAGTTAATAATACAACAGCTTCTTGCCATTTTTTTTTTTTTTGCTTCTTTTATCGCTGTGTAACAGATTTCAATTGAAAGCCTGTGTGCGCTAGTACCTCTTGCCACGACTTCCCAGAATCCTTTGCGGTGTTACCCCTGAATGACGTCACATTTTCAATCTCTATTCCAGTTGTCAATGGGCAAGAGGTGGGGTACAACTCTGGACAGGATGCCAATCTGTCACAGGGCTAACACAAAGAGACATAGATTCACATTTATGATGAATTTAGACTCACCGCTTAATCTAACATCGATTTCGCTAGTAGCAGGTCTGAGATTTATGGATTTGAAGGCCTTGGTGAGGACCGGCAGTGGCCCCAGGTCAGACAGATCCTTGTGTACTAATGAGGGGTGTGAGAACTGGGAAAAGTGGGGAGGAGGGTGAGGCATAAAAATAAGAACAAACAGGCTGCAGTGCAGGAATGATCAAGGAAATCAAGGAAATGGAACAAGCCAATGTATCTGTAGAGAGAGACCAGGCATGTACAGGGAAAAGATGCAAACTTAACACAAAAAGGCCCTAGCTGGTCTGTGCGTTCAACCCTATCTATTGTGCCTCCTCCTAATATCTGTATTAATGCTGTAGTTTTTAATGTATTGAGTCTTTGTGTATAATAGTGCATGTTTGCATGCCGAGAAATCATCTTGGAGCAGTAATATATTAAAAGTAAAAAGTGCTGTGTTCATAAAGCCAGAAATATCCTTATTCAGGCTGCCTACTTTCTTGATCAACTATAAAAATGGAAAACAAGAATTCATGCAGCTAATGGCTTAATGGTCAAGAATGAAGAAGCTATTGCATTTAATTATTGTTCCATTAAATGAAACGGACCAGCAAATGTGCTGTGATAAAGATTTGCTGAAATGAACAAGTTTGGAAGTTGGTGGCTTCCCTGATTTATTTCAGCTCTCTGCAGTGAGAAATTGTGATGCTGATAATGATGCACCAATGAAAGTGAGAAATGTGTCATCTAACATTTGGTCAGATGTAAACTACATCTCAGAAGAACCAGTCAGGGTGGTAGGTTTACTTTTCTGCAGCATTTCCTGTACTGGCAACCACCAATGAGAAGATGAAGCTTCGGCGAGATGAAGCTACAGTTAATCACAGCAAATTGACACTTAAAAAATTAAAGCATTATATGCACCAGTGTATTTTTGTTTCTGTTGCCAAAAAAGGCATGAAACATTGTTGTGGTTAAAAAGGCATGTATGTACCGATTAGAAAGAGTTATTGCTCTGGGGTACTTCTTATTCTTACTGGCCAGGCACCAAAAAGATGCACATTGTCAAATATGAAATACACAGTAAAGGTCACTTAGTAAAGTAATGCACTTGAAAAATGATATAAATATGGGTGCTTCCTGGATTCAGATGTTGTTTTTTTTACATTGGGATGTAATCACTTTGTTAGATATACCTTTTCATTAGTGCTAACTCAATGCATTTAGGCATGTAAACATGGCCAACGCAACCTACTGAAGTTCAAACTGAGCATCAGAAAGGGGAAAGAAAGATGGTTTATGTAGCTTTGAACCTGGGATGTTGGTGTCAGATGGACTGATCTGAGTAGTTCAGAAACTGCTGATGTACTGGGATTTTTCCACACACAACCGTCTCTAGGGTTTCAGAAAATGTTCACAAAAGAGAAAGTACCTTGTTGATGCTAGAGGTCTGAGGAGAATGGCCACACAGCTTTAAGCTAATGGGCAAGGTAAAAGTAAGTCAAATACTCAGTGGTTACACAGAGCATCTGTGAATGAACAACACAGTGAACCTTAAAGCAGATGATCCACAGCTCAGAAGACTACACTGAGTGTAACTCTTGTCAGCTAAGAACAAAAAACTGAGCCCGCAGTTTGCAAGTACTCACCATAATTGGACAGTAGAGGTTTGGAAAAATGTTGCCAGGCTTGAGTCTTCATTTTCTGTTGTGACATTTGGAAGGGTCACAAGTTGTTGTAAACTACATGAAATTGTGGATCCATACTGCTTTTTATTAATGGATCAGGATGATGTTCTGTGGGATATTTAGTTTGGGGCCCTTAGTAGTAACTGAACTAAACTGGTACTGACCACATTTATCCCATAATGACCAGTGTGCCCATCTTCTGGTGGCACACATAATGTCATGAAACTGAAATAATCTAAATCATACTTTTCATGAACATGATAGTGAGTTCACTGTACTTCAATGGCCACTACAGTCAATAGATCAATAGTGTATAATAATATAATATATAAAAGATACTGTCATTTTTATATATATGGACATTAACTTCTTTACAGTAAGTGTATTTTATATTCAGTTTCCAGGGTGAACTGCTCTTCACATACAACAACACAAATAAGGCCAGAATACATATTTGTTTATTGCTCAACCTAAACCAGTTTTGTTCCTGTTGCGTTCACCTTCTAGAGCATTTTATATATTCTGTAGTATTTGGGCGTAACGTTGCGGCTGTGATGACGACACATCGGACTACTTCCTGGCTCTGACCATGTTAATACGTTTTGTGCATTCGCATGAACACAAGTCAGTCCAATTATAATTAAAAGTGTAGTGTTTGCACCACAGGGTGGCGATATTTGCAAAACAATTCACTAATTGATACAGCATGTTCTGGTTGTTCATAATAATTTTAACACACGATACAAGTTTGAAGAATTGCGTCCTTGCTGTGTTAGAAAACACCCGTGAAACCTCTGAGTTAGGGTGGTGTGTCAGTCCTTAATACGATCTGTCTATATGTGGCGGCATAATGAATGAGTTACGTCCTTTTTACATTTTTTAAAAACAATATCTATATATACTTTTTTTTTTTTTGAAGATGTAAAATATATGTATTTTCTTACGTCAGCATCAGCCTGTCGTATAACAGCATGAGAACATCCCGAGCCTAGGAAGTTCACATCCCATCATCAGCATCCAGCGTTGTTTTTTTTTTTTGTTTTTTTCCCCCGCTGTCGATTCAGCCCCTCCTTCCTCCCTTTTCTCGTACCCCAAGGGTCTCGCGAGCGCGCACGCGTGCGAAACTGCGTGGGAATGGCTGTTTGTATGATCGAGGGGGTTGGGCCGCTTGGAGCGAGCGGTGAGCTGCATGAGTTTGTAATGTCCGCCATGTTGGCAATGGCGTATTGAACCAGGGAGGAACAGCGGTGCCTACGAGAGAAAGAGACCGACAGAGAGCGATCGAGACCCGGGCCTGCCCGGCTCTGTTCGCGCTGCTACGGACCCAAGCCCGCCCTCAATCGACCGCTGACTCTCAGAGACCGTCACAGATTCATCCATGAGAACTCGAGGCAGACCTGCTGTTATTCCTAGCAGATCGAATAGATTTATGCTGCGTCTTTTATTATAAAAATGAGTAAATTGTCGTTTCGGGCACGGGCACTGGATGCTAGTAAGCCCCTGCCCGTCTTCCGCTGCGAGGATTTGCCGGACCTGCACGAATATGCCTCAATCAACCGGGCAGTACCGCAGATGCCAACGGGGATGGAAAAAGAGGAGGAATCGGTATGTTATTTTATTGCTGCCCGACTGGCGGTGGATCTTTGGCGGCATTTTCATAGCGCGAGGCGCCGCTATGTTGCCTGCGCAAGCTTGTGCAAAATGGCCGCCATATTTTATCTTTCGTGCGCACGATAGAGCTCGATGAAAACTGAATTCTACTAACCCGTTTCACCACGAGTGGCTGTGTAAGGTTGCAATATTGTGATATTTTATTGGCAAGCCGTGTTGTGTCCGTTTATTTCCTTTTAAGCAGTACCTGAATGCACAAAGAAGTCACGTGACCTCTATCTGTTCCACCATTTTGTTGACTTTCTCGTTGGTAAAGGCGAGCGGGATAGGCCTTGGACGTGGTGTACTTTTCGTTAGCGAATGCCAGGGGGAGACACTGAGCCTTCAGCCCCGGTTGACAGCTAGGCGCCTCGTGTTGACAGCCACAGCCCTGCCATGTGTGCTGCCTGTTTCGCGGAGAACGCGGAGTTTAAAAAATATGTCCCAGAGCTCTGCTTTATGATTAATAACTGCACTCCTCTTCACATATACGTGCTTCAGTTCCTGTAAACTGTGTTACGACATGCATGGTGTAGCCATGACGGTGCCGTTCATGGGGAAGTTTCATTCGTGTAGTGCAGCACGTGGATGTAGTCTTCTTTTCTGGAGCCATATTCCAAGTATCTTATTGGTTAGAAGCGTCGATGGCAAGAAAACGGTGACGATAGAGAATTTCAGTTATGTTTCTGAAAATTGGGCTTAAATTACTCTTATGAAAGTGTCTTATTGCAACTACTTATTTATTACTTGAATCCTTCATAATTGCATGAGTTTGGCCCACTGAGATGTCTGTACTGTGGTATTAGTCGGATTTTTGTTTTTTAACACTATAGTATATTGTTCTGCTTTTACTCACGTGTTTTGAGATTACACATATTCAAATTATATCCAAATACACAAATTTGCATTTGCCTGTAGACAGATTGGTCTATATGTTTTGACCACAAAGCCTTTCATTTAGAGTTTATACCTGGAAATGAAAGCTGTTTTTCTGATTGTACACAAAGTTTAAGTATTAAACTTTAAAAGTTTAAGCATTACCTGCTCATCTGGTCGGCCCCACTGACTTTTTCTAATCCACTTTTATACACCACCTGAGATGCCTCAGCAGACACAAACATGATCCACAGATGGGATGTAAAGCAAGTTGAAATCCTGCTTTCATACCCTCCTCAACCTGCTGTGCACATACACAGCAGAAATTGCATAACAGTGTGACAGAAGAGATAAAGAGGACAGTTTTACTCCAAGCCTGTGCGTGGCTTAGCTCCCTGACCCACATCCTGTCCAGGAACAGTGGGGTGTTGTTGCACTGACTAAATACCCAAATGTTGGCTGAGAGTTATGTTGTTCTAACTTACCAGCAGGCACAGTTTGTGAGTGTTTGTTGCGTCACAATGCATGTGCATCACTTTGTCTCTTTAATTCATAATTTTAGCTTGCAAGTGTAACCAGAATCTAAATCAGGTGGAAGTTTTTGTTGTTGTTGTTGTTGTTGTTATAATATAATCAAGGGACTAATTTCATCAGCATTTAAACCTTCAAACCTCTGGCAAACAATTAACTTCTGACACAATCTATTTTTGCAAAGCAACAGGACATCTTTGCTTGCACCATGTCCTGCATAGTGTAAATAGTTTGTGTGTTCCAGTGGCCGTTACCTTTACACTCACATTGAATTGTTCCATAACGTCTGGGGAAGTTAAAAGGTAAATCTGTAAACCACGTTTTTGACTACAAAATTAAAATGCTTTAGAGGTGGACTTTGTCCCTGCGACGCCACAATTTATGATTCACAATACGTCAGCCAGTAAATCCTCCTGTCTTTAATTATAATTTACAGAATTGTCTCAATGTTTTATTTAGTATGATGCTAAGTCAGCAGGAAATGGTTTACTGATGGAGGGGAAGGGAGTTGAGGCTAGTTTTCCCATCTGTAACAGTAATGTCCTTATTCACCTAGAGAAGTCGCCCCCTGCTGGCTGTCAGGTATACGCTTTTCAGTCCTGGAAGCTACATCTATCCTTCACACTGTTTGCAGTCATGATTTCTCTTTGTGTGTATTCATTAACACACAAAGTATTGAACAGTTTGTTTAATCGACTAACGGTCTTAAATTGAGTGATTTCTAGAATTTTCATTGATTTCTGGTAGTGTTACTAAAATGTGTGGCACAGTGAAATTGGATGCTTCTGTGCAAACAGGAGAAACATGTAAAGCCAAACAAAACACAGCCACCAAAATGCTCCGTGTGGATCTCCTTCAAAAAACCAAATGGACAAAAATGATGTCTGGTGCACACTACGTCCATAAAGCTACCATATTACAGCTCGACTACAGGGTCATTTAACAAGTATTAGGTATGGGCATGTGTCAAGTTAACCTTTGTTAAATTTAAAATGTTAATACTTTAGAGGGGGCTTGCATTCGTGACCACTTTAGCTTTAAATTGAAAGGACGTCCCCCTCTCCCATACTAATCATATAGTACTTATGCACCTGTGAGGGTTGATATTGAGCGACATTGTTTCTCCACTGAATTTTGAGTGTTGTTCAACATAAATCACTTTTTCTCATCTGTGGAAAACTAGCAGTACTTGTGGATTTTACACAATGTGTGTGCTTGGATTTGCTGAAATGCACCACCCTCACTTCCTCGCCTTCCTCTGGGCATGTTGAGCTGAAAACACCTGCTGGAGGCCACACTTTTGTTGCCATGGCAACTTTTATTGGAGTCATCTATTTTTTTCTTGGGAACATTTAATGGAGGGAACGCGTGGTGCTGTGAAAAATAGATTTTCATTTGTCTCTCCTCGATCTGCATCTGTGACCGTGACAGAAAGCATAACTGCCACTGAGTCCCAGAACATTTTGTGTGGGAAGAACAAGAGAATCTGAGGTTCAATATTAGATTGTGTTTTCTCGGGTGGAAAGCCGTTAGAAGCTACTTTGTATCCAGTTGTTTTCACTATTTGTGCCCACTTTGCACTAGATGTGTCACAAGACCAAAAACGTTGTCTGTACCAAAATAAGTCAAATGCATACATTACAAAGCATAGTGTGCTAATACATGATCATGAATCATCATATTCTTATAAAATGAACAGTAAGCCTACTAATTAGCTATTAGAGTAGCTTTGCATGATCCACTGCTCAAACAAATTCTTTGCAGCCCCTCAGTTCGTCCTTTGTGTGATGCAAACTGTGCAAGCTCCTCTAAATTTAAGCCAGCTTTCTTCTTATTGGCTGCATCTTACAAACAAAAGGATTGACCTGAAGTTGGGAGTGGCCGCTGTGCTCACCCTAAGTTGGTTCCCTGATTTGACCATATGAGAGAGATCTGCTTTCACTGACATCATGCAGAGCCAGAAAAGAAATTGTGTTCAGATAAGTGTGAAGGCTGAGCTTCAGGCCTTGTATGATACTGGTAAATATGCTAAACTCATCATTTGAACCTTTAGCTTTTTGTAATATGCTCATTTCATCATTGTAACTTGATTGTACAAAGCAGAATATAAGAAAAAGCATAAAATTTAATTTACTTAAAGTCCCAGTTTCTTATTTTTACTTTTTTGGAAGCAAGACCATAGGGACAAGTAATTTTCAGCATCCAAAAACTGTTGAAAGTTCAAACAGCATAATGGCACATCAACTTGAAAGTTTGGCTAACACAGGCTTTTGCTGTGGGTCCCGTAATAACCTGGTTCACTTGTTCTCATGTGCCATTCACAAAATCCTTTTATCCGACACTCTCAACTCCTCTGCAGAGGAAATCCCAGGCTGTGAACCATGCTTGTGAGGATCACAGCTGTGAAAGATCAGGATATCTTTAGGTCAGAGAAGGCTCAGGGCTGCCTGCTGCAACCTGCCGAACCAATATCCTTCATAGAAGCTCGCAAAGGCAGGTCTGGGCCAGGCTCAGGTTTAATTGGCACCTTACGTGCACGCTTTATGCAGGTTCCTTATCTCACAAAGCTCCTGGGTTCATCAGCATGTCAGACGGTAGGGTTCAGAGAGGGCAGTGTCTTTGTGGCGGTTTTATGAGCAAACGCATCCTTCACTGTGCCAGTCAAACACTGGATCATGTAGTTTACATAAGCTCATGTCATGTCAGTAGACAACGCTTTGATAAGCAGTACTCTCTGAGCTGTAACAGTTGCTGAGTAACAGTGCAGACAACAGTTAAGTACATTTTGTAAGAAATGTATTTCAGTTGAATACTAGTTTGGAGTGGTTTGATTTCTTGCATCATTGTGCTTCAATTTTTGCTTGTAATTATCAATACAGGCTGGTGTTTCAAAGACTTAAACTATGCTTTTAATTTAGATATGAGAAGTCTGATGTAAATGTGCGTGCAAAGCGTAACTTTTAACGTTTTAAGTCTCTGAGCTCAGAACCACAGCTTCTGCAGTTTGGGTTTAACCCAGGAAGGACTTTTTAAATGTACAATGACACAGAGCTGTTGGCTAATTTGCAGGAAGTTGTGTTTGTGGGCAGTGAACATGGCTGTGTGAAATTTTTAATAAGTGTGCCTGCCCAGCCTGCTCACGCTCGCAGTCGCAGCCAAATCTGGCGCTTTGTTTTTGTCCTGACCCTTCAATTTGTGTAACCGTGCCAAATTGAGTCTTGGTTGAGAGTGCTATTCAAGCTTTAAATTGTGGTTAAGTTAGTGCTTGGTAAAAAGTTGTGTATTTCTCTCTTGTGCTCTTTTAGAGCCTGCGGCAAGAAGGAAATGCTGGGATTTAGGATGTTGTGGATGATGTCTAAAATCCTCAGTGGTGAACACTTTCACAGTTGACACAATAAGATGTTTTTCTTGGCGTAGACTGTGCTTGATGGGTTTACAAGGGGCAGATGGTTCAGCTCTGGGCACATGCTGTGTCCTTTGATGCCAGTTCACAGCTCTGATATGGTTCCCCTGTTACTCCATGCAGAGCTCCTCGTGGCTTTGAATTTTATTTAAGGCAGTTCAGACACCCATGCAAGTGTGGAAGTGTATAAAACTGAGTCGTTGTCAGGGAATGCTTGTTTGTGGTCATATTTGCCAGGCGCAGTTGGTATCTCTTAACATTGACCCACATTTCAGATTCTAGCCAATAAACTGTAGTTGAGAAAACGCGTGTGAAGTGTAAAATGAGTAGGAGCTCTGTTAAAATACTTGTTAGAGCAAGACGGATCTTGAGTTGGTTTGACTTGATTGGCCGTCTGTTGCATCAACCACAAATAAAAGGCCTACAGATATTGTGCGCTACAGAGTGAGCGTGCAGTGCTAGTAAGTTGCAGTGTCTTTCATGCAGATCTTAATGCCAGTGCATAAGCGAGAGCTTTGCTTAAACTCCTGTCATTTAGTAATAACACTGATTCTGAACTCCGAGGAGCTAGGGCTGTTCGATATAACGATATATATCGGATGACGATATAAAAACGTCTATCGTTTCATTTTACGCTATCGTTTGTTTCGGGGTGTCGCAAAATAAACTGTTTACGGCAATATTTTTTTCATCGTTTTAATGGTCACTGTAGTGGCTATATTAATTTGTTACAGTTCTTTCTTTCTCTTATATTTTAATAACCACACTACGGACGGACAAGCGCCTGTTTTTATGCGTTGTGGTTAGCAACAACAACGGTAAAACCACCGTGTGTCTGCTTGTTTATTTTCCACATAAACCTTTCACAATAAAGCTCAAGATCCTGTTGAGACTTTTCAAAATAAACTGAATCACGTGAAAGAGCAGATTATTTACAGATGAGAATTAAAAAAAGAGCCGTCAGGTGCTAAAAAATAAACCTTAGACTCAAACGTTAGAACAGGCTTTTCCCCGCAGCACGCCGTGTATTAAATACTCACAAAGAAAACGGCAGCCGTTACAACTTATGTCTAAAAATGTATCGTTTCATGCATCGGTTAAAACACTCGACTCCAGCTACATGACGCGCAGCTGGAAACACTTCCCGCAAGGCGAGCTGCCCGAGATTCACAGAATTTACAGAAAATGTTACATTTTTGTGATTTATATCGTTATCGGGATGATAGAATTCTTATATCGGGATATGAGATTTTGGTCATATCGCACAGCCCTACGAGGAGCAGTATGCTGTTTGGAAAATTAAGACACTGTTTTATACAGGGGGAAAAAGATTCATGTTTTTTTGGGATTCTTCCAAACAACATATATTTCAGGTAACTATCAGTTGTGTAATATGAAAACATTTTGTACTTGCTGAGTTCAAGAGTCAAACCGTCTGAGTCATTTGCCCACGTTTATGCTTCTGCTGCCAAGTTGGAGTACCAGATTTGCTGCTGAAGAAACTTTGCAGGTATTTTAAAATGATCCACTGGCTCAACATAGGCAACAGAATATCTGTAAACTTTTTTCTTCTCTCTCCATTTGTTCCACCTGAGAGATGCAGTAAATAATAATGAGTCATTGTTGTGAGTGATAGTGGGGTTACCTGAGGGGTGCTCAAAAAGAGGTGTTTGCCACAAAGCACATGCTACGAAGTCCAACTCGGCTGACTGTGAAGCTCACCTTTCCAAACTCATTGACATGGCAGTGCACTTGCTGATACTCCTACGCTGTTCTCCTGCTGATGACTCATTTCTCTGAGACATCATTACTGTGTTGGCATACATTATATAGACATAACAAACTATGATAAATATTATGCTTTGCCTGTCAGACAAGCCTAGACAAATGAATTGAGATTAGGTTTAAAATGACAGCTAAGAAATGCCACAGAAACACTGAAAGATAATGAGCGAAGGGAACTGGAGAGGATTCACACCCAGGAGGTGCAGGATGTTCAAACGAGTGCGATTTTTATTTTGACCCAGCGGCTGACATGTTTGTCCCTGACTTTGATGATGAATACACCCTAGAGGAAGAGGAAATGTTGGCAGCACCATATGAAGCCAGTGAGGGTTTCACAAGGGATGGAGAGATGACCATTCATGTAGCAGGCCTTTCCTGTTTTGGAACATTTTGTATTTGAACAACTGCCATCATGCTTTGCACTGACAAATAAGATTGCAGTAGCTGATGTTTATATGTTAAGTGTAAATTTCTGTTTTGTTTCTGTGTTTATTTCATTCAAAGGTTAGTGTGATAAAAGGATTGTAGACTTTAAACTGGTTTGCAGGGGGTTTCCTGCCTCTTAAACAGGTATACGAAAGGCTGGATTTACAAAGCTGAGTCTGGGGTTCCTTATTTAACAGAAGTCTGTGATTGTTCTTGTGGTATCTATTGCTGTTTGTTAACCAACAATGGCGTTTATGCTTCACTAAATGAAGCCCAACTAAGAAAACATTACTATCCTGGTGTTGATTTCAAGGAAGACAAAAACAAAACTAAATCCTGGTTAATTTTGGGTGTAAATTTGAGTATAGATTTTTTTTTTTCTGGCACAAGATGTAAACAGTACCTCAGTCTACTATCAGCCAAAATATTTCAAACATCTGCATTGGCTCAGAATTTCATAATTCTGTATTTCACAGTGTGACAGATGTTTTAAACCAATCAGTCAGAGCAATAAGCAATGCCAGTGTTTTTTGTATTATTTCTTCTGTGCCAGGGAACTAAAGAAATCCCCAGAATGAAAACAACATTTAGGCAGCGCAAAATTGAGCCAACACAATAGATAAACATCAGCCGCTGCCATCTTATTTGCCAATATACTGATGAAAGCCAGCCAGACCATAAACATTGGCCAGCCTAAGACATTTGCAGAAAAAGGCTAATATCAGCCACTCCTGACGTGCATCCTTTGGTTTTACATACGGATTCTCGATGTTATGTACATGAAACATTTCACAGCTCTGTCCTCGTAGACCTTCCTCTGGAGCTCGTCCAGTGAGAGGTTTAGGCTGTAATCTCTTTAATGTGAGAGGTCTGACGCCACAGATCACATTTATTATCCTGTTAAGTACAATACTTTAAGCACTTGGCGTTCTTTAACATCTGGACTGCTTATGGTTATTAGTCCTGTGCAAGCACAGCGAAACGATATCATGCACCTCATAATGAAACAACTTTTGGTCTTAACTAAATCACTCATTGTCATTGTTTCCATTACACACTGTTGTATGTACATGCAGATGCACAACAGAATGAAATGGGGGGGTGATGTGTAAAATGAGTATTGAAGTAATTAAAAGATTTTTTTTAGTTTGTCAACTTGTAAACAAGATGGTTTAAGAAACAATCTGGAGTCTTTTTTTTTCCTTTTTTAAATAATTCTTTGTGTACAAATGTCTCTTGACAAATCAAGATACTGATCACTGCAGAAGTCTTTACATTTTTTTCTAAACAGCAGCTTCTTCCTCTCTTTCAGGAGCACCATCTCCAGCGGGCCATCTCAGCGCAGCAGGTATATGGCGAGAAGCGGGACAACATGGTTATCCCCGTCCCCGAGGCGGAGTGCAACATCACGCACTACGAGTCCCTCTACCCCGGGGAGTTCAAAATGCCAAAGCAGCTTATTCACATACAGCGTGAGTAGCAGGCTGCGTGCAAGTGGATTATCTTCTTAGCTGTGTTAGTGGTCTGTGAGCATGTGGTGATGTTGCTGTTTGGCTGCACTGGATGGCTTCAGGGTGTTTATTCTGCTGATTGAGAGATTTTAGTGTTTGTGGTTTTGATGAGAAACCTGTGAGTAATTAGAAGCGCTTTTCTAAGAGATGTGTATTTATATGTTATGTTTTGTTTTCTGGACGGTTTTCTGAAAGTTAGTGCTTTTTCATGTGGACATAATATTGACACACATAGTTGTTGCTTTTTTTTTTTAAGAAAACTTTAAGATTAAGTCTTGTTGTTTGGCATTTACTGTAGCCATGAAATGTCCTGTGTTCGCATTAGTGAAATGTCAAACTTTGAGACTGCTGTTGCAGATACTTTCACCATAATTTGGCAGTCATCTTAACATTTTAAATGTAGGGGCGGTGAGGGTAACACTGCAAGCTTTTCCAAATGCCACTGGCTTTGACAGGTTAATGTGTTGATTACAGTGGCTCTGATAGTGGCTGTTCAGTAAACATCTTATTTTTTCACCCGAGGGCCACAGTAGTGACAGCCACTTTGAATTTATTTTCTGCAGAATCTCAATGTCAGATTGGCAGGGCCAAAAAAATACAAAGCCAGGGGCAATATTTATGTTCAAATGGTAGATTGCATTCACATCTCATATTTGTCCTAAAGTGTTGCCTTATTGAATGGGTGAAAGCACACAACTAAACTGAAGCACAGCGCTTTGTTATGATAAAATGCTGTTTATTTTTTGAGCATAGTTCGGCTGCAGTTGGCTGAAGATAAAGGCTTCAGCAGTTCATATCCTATGGGTTGTGTTATTGACATTGCTTGAAAGGCACTGTTGCTAAATACAAAATGATGGTGAATTATAAAGTCTCTGTATTGTAAGCCCAGGCTTTGCTGACTGAAATGTGTCATAGTTATCTAATATTGATTCATCAATTTGATACACACTGCAGCCTCTGCTGGTATTGTTCAGAAAAGTGATGTTTTGTTTAGTTCAGCAGCCTCATTCCTGCAATGTCTTTGAAATATTTTCTTGGCTGCATCTGTCTCTCCAGTAACCAGCTCTTTTTTTTCTTTTTCTTTTTTTTCCCACAGCTTTTAGTTTGGATACAGAGCAGCCAGACTATGACCTAGATTCAGAGGATGAGACGTTTGTGAATAAGCTGAAGAAGAAAATGGAAATCACTGCTCTGCAGTTTGAAGAAATGATAGACCGGCTGGAAAAAGGCAGTGGACAGCAGGTATATGTAACCCTGTGTGGGGAAAGTATTGCTTTGCATGCACACAGTCTTTTTATTCACTTTACACTGAATAAAATGTACACTCTGAGTCACTCTTTGCATTACTCCATTATGTTTAACTTGTATTTTAGTCATTTGAGAGGCCTGTTATTCTCTTTGTCAGTGGTTTCTTTAAAAGTTACTATTTATTGACGAATAAGCACTTCACGTGACATTGAAAAAGACAAAATATGAGTTTATGTGATGTGCCTGAAGGCAGCGTGATTGCTTAAAATCTAAAGCCTTTGTTTTGTTGTGTCTTGGTGTGTTCATAGTGACTGCTTGTTGAAACCAGCTGGACTTAAGTGCTCAGCTATGTGTAATAATTATTTCCAGAATGATGTGGCTCAGGCCATTACACTAACTTGGTCTGGCCTGTCTTGTTCTGTAGCTTGTCAGTCTACAGGAAGCCAAACTGCTGCTGAAGGAGGACGATGAACTGATCAAGGAGGTCTTTGACTACTGGAGCCGGAAGAGGAAAACCAGCAAGGGTGGCTGCCTCATCCCCAGCGTCAAGCAGGAGAAGAGGGATGGCTCTAGCACCAGCGACCCTTATGTGGCCTTTCGCCGACGGACAGAGAAGATGCAAACTAGGAAGGTAGGACTTTCTAGCCAAAAACGAGTAAGATAAAGGCAAATTAAAGGACATAAATTATGCTGACCTACATTTCAACTGGGGCTTCACCAATCCAACTTTTGAAGATAAAAACCTAGAACCCTTGTATTATCTTTTTACTAACGTAATTATATAAGCAGTTTCCATGGGTTTTGGTATGGTCCAAACATATTGGCTTTAAAGTGGTTCAGATGAGGCCGATAAATATGTTGTCCCTACAGTAGTGTTCCCCAAAGATGAAAGATGAGCAGTTGAATATTTCCATACCTTAACCTTTTTAAAGATTTTCAGTTAAAATGGAAACTAATATAAGGTGACATCCACCAGACACCTCACGGAATGAGATTATCACAATATTTAACTCACAATATGACATTATTTTGCTGTTTAAAAAAGATTTTTTTAGATTGTGTGATTTGCTGACTATTGCAGTAACATTGTGATTAATCACCTTTTGTCTATTGCAGCTACGCTTCTGTATTGATACAGTATTCACAAGCAAAATATTGGAATTGAGATTTCTGACACTGAATCATCACTGCTCTGTTTTCAGAATCGAAAGAATGATGAGGCCTCATATGAGAAGATGCTGAAGCTGCGCAGGGACTTGAGTCGAGCTGTCACCATCTTAGAGATGATCAAAAGAAGAGAGAAGAGCAAGAGGGAACTGTTGCACCTCACACTGGAAATTGTGGAAAAGAGGTAAGAAAGTTGACTAAACTGCACCTTGTCAGACAAGTAGTTGCTATAAAGGAGACCTTTTCACTTGTACTCTCAAACCGCATGCCCCACTTATCTGATTGGATGACATTTTCAAAAGCGGGTCATTCAGGGTAATAGCTAACGGCTGTGCCCTTGTCCTGTTTTGGGAATGCTTTCTGATAACATCTTAAGAAGCTGAGATGATAACAGCGTGGTGTTTTGGACAGTGTATGTGGGGAACCTTCATATTTGATTAGCCTGTTGTTTACTTGCCAAGTCTGAAATTCAGCACAATGCTTGTCTGCATGACTGATCATACAAAAGTCAACCACATATTTTCTGTAAGGCCAGGCTTCACTGCTCCTGTTAATTGGGGTCACAGTTAAATGCACTTTTCCATGCAAAGTTCACCTTGTTTATTCAGTAGTGTTTGGACCACATTAGCTCAGTGATGTCTGGGTCCTGGTCAAGGCTTTGCTTTCCCCAGTCTTTTAAGCAGTATAGTGGACTCTATCTCTGTATTCCATCCATCCATTCGCTTCCGCTTATCCTTTTCAGGGTCGCGGGGGGCGCTGGAGCCTATCCCAGCTGTCATAGGGCGAGAGGCAGGGTATCTCTGTATTATAAAATATAAACTTTGTGTTTTCCAAACTCCATTTTGGATTGTCCTCCCTCCACCCCCCAGTGGAGCCTTTGCAATCCATCTAAACATGACATCCGAATGGAATGAATTTACTCTGAAAGTAGCTGTCAGCGTGAGCTTAAATTGGACCCTTCTCCTTGAAGTGCTTTTGATTTGTAGTGACATTTCAATTTCCTCTTGTTATCCCGGCCTGGTTTCTGCCTGCGCATCACAGCTAGTGCTCACTCTCAGACTGGACCACTCTGTTCCCAGTAGGTAGTTTTTCCCAGTCACTTTATGATGCTATGCTGCTGTAGAGGGGCTCAGGTGTAATGTCTGGTGGGTGCAGTCTGTCATTTGTGTGTCTCAAGCCCTTACTGTGCATTGAAGTTTAGGTTCTTTTGTGTTTCAACTGTGGTTGCATGATGTTAGCAGTTATACATTATTCATGGTAATGTTAGTGATAAATTGAAGTAGTTTACACAAATTTCCAAGCTTAATATAGTCAACTAAAACTATGTGGGAGATGCATCTGTTAGAGCCCGAGCGGTCTTCATGACAGTATGTCATCTACAATATTTAAGACTGAAGCGAATAAAAACAACTTGAACCTAAGTGTGTAATATTTCGTATTATTATGTCTAATGTTATTGTTGAACTGACATGTTGGGATGCACTGATTCAACTATTCATTTCTGATCCGATACCAGTCTTAAGTAAACAAACTCTGCTCCTCACTGTGAAACTCGGAAGCATTCTATATTTCTAAGGCAGCCAACCCGCCATTACTTTTCTGTTAACGTCCTCTATAACAAATATGCAGCAAAAAAAGAGAAGTCATCGCCAGTAAAAACCGGGCACTCTGTCCATCTTCACAGATCTGGAGTTGAGTGCACTGTTACTTTGTATCCTGTACACTTCCAGCTTCTTTATTGATGCATTATCTCCTTCTGGCAACTCATACACTGCTGCTGATTTATTGTGTAGTAAACTGGATCAGCTATAGATGGGCTTTTGTCAAATATCCGATTGAGCTTTGTTTTACCAATAATTGTTCATACTTACAGTGTGAGCTGATAAAGCTGAAGTTGGCAGGAGTGCAGTTGTAATACTAAAAATTAGGGGTGCAACGATACTCGTATCGATATTGAACCGTTTGATACAGTGCTTTCGGTTCGGTATGCATATGTATCGAACAATACAAATTGTTTTTATTTATTTTATCAACTTTTCTTCTGACGATGCTGTCTGTGTTGAGAGCTCAGTGGATCTGCGTTCGACTACTCTGCCTAGGCTGCACTGTCGAGTGCAGATCCACTGAGCGCAGCGCAAGCTAGCAAGACAGAAGTTAAGCTCTCCTTGCAACATGGCAAATGGAACCTCCCCCACCCTCATTCAGATCTGGCGTTTGGAACTATTTTGGTTTTCATGTGACGTATGACCCTGATGGTAAACACGTCATGGACAAAAGTAAAACAGTATGTTGGATGTGCCATGCAATGCTCAATTACATTGGTGGGAACTACTGCGTTAGCGCAGTTAGCTCGTTAACGTGCTGATGCCGTCCAGCCCCACGCACGGGGCGATCCGCGGTAACTCGTTAACGGAGATTTGCCGTGTTGTGGCGTTAATGTCATTTTAACGAGATTAACGCTGACAGCACTAGTGGGAACACAACAAATATGACCACATTTACTCCGACATCATCAAGTGGAAGCAGACAAAAACAACAAGCACGCATGCTACAAACTTTACCCGAGTCATTTAGACAGCCGTTAGCACATGATTCTCCTTATGGGGACCTGATATGTTTAATATGCTGCTGAGAATATAGCCCAGAAGAAGCGTATAGTATAGCTTTTAGTTTGGAAAGAGCCATTTCTCTGTAATAAACTCTCTTTTCCAAAGATGAGTGATTTCTCGATCAGATTAATTTTTTTATTATTGTTGTTTCAGTAACATTAAATTTAAAAACTGTACTTTTGAGTTAAAATATATATTTATAATTTTAATAAATGACAAATTAAAAAGGCATGAACATTTTTTTGTATCGAAAAAATATCGAACCGTGTCACCAAAGTATCGAACCGAACCGTGAATTTTGTGTATCGTTGCACCCCTACTAAAAATGTTAACTTCTTTGCTTTGATTTTCCTCATATTTTGCCTTTCTCTCTGTGTCCACCAGGAATGTGTTGCCAGACTTTGGCAGTGAGGTGATGGCAGAAGCACTGGCACAGCGGGCTCTGGTGAAGCCTGTTTACACCATCCCCATCATTCCCCTGTCCAGCAGTAACCAGTACAGACATCAGGACCACTTGGACATGAAGGACTACAAGAAAGTAAGGACATGTTCATCAGGAATCGTACAAAAAAAACCCCGTGTGTGTGTGTGTGTGTGTGTGTGTGTGTGTGTGTGTGTGTGTGTGTGTGTGTGTGTGTGTACAGAATGATGAGCAAGCTACAGGAAATTGTATTGACTTTGAATTCGTCCTTTAGTTGAGTCAATTCACTCAAGCTGCTTAATGCTGTACTCTGTATTGGCACACTGAGTCATATCAGACCTTGGCATTTTCATTCTGAAAGGGTGCATGGTTCGAAATGACAACTAGGTCTAAATTATTAAAAATAATTTCCCTTATGGACAAGAAACTGCAAATTTGTACTTAAGTTTATTATAGTATAACAGTTCTTAACAACACACAGGAGCAAATGTTGGACAGTGTTTTACCACAATAAATATCCTGTTTATCCGTTAAATGTAATGATATAAAGCTAAACGTCCCTTTGTTTACATATTATAGCTTAATTACTTTGCACAGTTGTGACCTCAGTGTCATCGGAACTTCATTAGCTCCAGTGTCCACCAGCTCTCCCCTTGCCCTGCAATGAGACACTCATTTCCCCTTCTTTTATCTTCTGCCTCCTCCTCTTCCCCTTTACCAGCTGGCTGACCTTTTGCTTTTATTTACACACGTTCATTTTCAGTTTAACTCTACCCCTCCTCCCTCGTCACTCCAACCCTTATTTTTTACAGTGATTAGGCACAGCCGTTCTTCACTGTAGCCTCCCTGCCTCTCTGTTTGCTTTGTCCCCAGAGTGTAAGGACTGAATGAAATCCTACTAATCCTAGCAGAAGTTGGATCGTGTTCAGACAGGGAGGGGTTGTCCCACTGGGGAAGTTTGGGGGTGAAAGGTGGCACGGGGTAGATTTAGGAGGGAGGGGGAGGACAGCCATCTGGCTAGGCAGCGGCATCTGGCACGTGCCACCATCTGCATATCAATGCCTCTCTTTACTTGCTGTTGTTTCTGCACACACTCTAGGCGCCTGTGCATAGACCACCAACACTCAATTGCCGCCAGCAGTATTGTGTTGCGTATGAAAAAGTGTTCTTGATTACACAGACTGCAGTATAAACATGTTTTCCTTTCCTTTCCTTCTTCACAGCCTGAGAAGACGGAGGCAGTTCGAACCAAAAGGAAATATGAAAAGAAACCCAAAATCCTGCCTATGTCAGCGCCTCAACATTCAGGGCCCCCTGTGTTCAATCCCAAGGACCTTAACCAGTATGATTTCCCCAGCTCAGATGAAGAACCATTCTCACAGGTAACATTTGGTTCCAGCCCTTCGGTTGTGATGCAATTTCAGTGGGATTTTTACAGAGACTAATATTATACATGAACAAACATGGAACAGAAGTTGAAAGCAGTGATATTGTGTGTTCCATCTGTAAAAACCATGTTTGGCTAGTAATACATTTCTTATTTTCCCTTTAGGAGGGCATGAATTGAAGTCCCTAGCTTTTCCTTTACTTACATTTTTTGTGTCGTGTAGATCCATTCAGGTTCCTCAGAGGCAGAAGAAGAGAATGACCCAGATGGCTGCTATGCGTTCAGGAGGAAGGCCGGCTGTCAGTACTACGCTGTGAGTGCCCTCCTGTGACTCCCGTGCTTCTATTTATAGTGCCAACAGCAGGCTGGCCAGTCTGGCTGCTCTCTCTTCCACACTCTACTGGACAGAACAATGCAATAATGAAATCACCTGTTTTATTTTCAACTTCTGTTTGTTCTCAGATCTAATCGTTTTTTGTTTTTTTTCCCCTTTATCTTCCCTCAGTATCGTCCAGACGAGAGTGGCAGCTGGCCCTGGGTAAGCCCGTCAGATGGTGGGCTCGGCGACCCACGCTTCCGCTACTGTCTGACCTCGCTGAACATCCCAAGGCGCTGCATAGGTTTGTCAAGGCGCCGTGTGGCCAGAGGCGGCAGGTGAGTTCAGTCTGGCTGTTTGTTACAGAGCCTTTGAGGGTCATGCATGTGTTGATCATTTGGGTAAATCAACCCGCCCCACCCCACTCTAACAAAAAAGAAAAAACAGTGTTATTTCTTTAATTATTTTTGCGAAGCACTTCATCCCTTGTTGCTGACATGAAGAACAATAAGGGTGACACGAAGGTATTACTATTCATGGTTTTCATGATGTACCAACTTCTCCAAATTCTGGAGAAATTAAATATGAAATGTGTTTAGGAATGTTGCCAGTATCAAATGGAGCAGAGGAAATTGAGCCAAGTGTTAGCTGTCACTGCCAAGGTTGTTTACCATTCCAACTCTTTGGCAGGTTACCAGCGACCGTTTGGCAGGCACATTTTATTATAAATATCAAGCTGGCAGGTGAAATGAACATGACAGTCCCATTTTAGGATTTACCTGTCACTGTAGCATGTGTTTAGTTTAAAAAACAAAACTTAAATGTGCCCTGCAGCCTTTTCTGATATCTCCTCAGTATTTACACAGACAGTTAAATACACCAAGCTGGGTAGCAGCTTCCTCAGTGCCAGGTGTGAAAGAGACCAAACGAGGGTCACACAGTATCTGCTCCCCGGGCACACATGAGATAAGCAATGTTCTGTTTGTGTCTGCAGTGACCTTATCAACTTCCCCAAGGGAGATTGAAGGATTCCTCTAGCTCTGAATTGAAACATCTTTTCAGTATAATGTACTATGGTAATACTTGATCGTGTTAGGAAGCATGGAAAGTGGGTTAACAATAGTGTGGCTGTGGGGTTTGTAATGTCAGTGACGGTTCAGTTGTTTGCCTTGTTTTGTTTAAGAGGATGTGTGTAGGTTGATAAAGTTTTTTTTTTTTTTTAAGAAGATATTTTGTAACAAACACTCTTTAAAGGTGTTAAATTGTTTTAAAGTTGGAATGGTCTCAAATGTTTTCATTCACTTTTTAACTATACATTAAAAACACAAAGAACTGATTTGATTATGTTTAGTTTTAATGTGTATTTTAACTGCAAGTTGGTCTTAAACTTCAAATAAAGTGTTATTTAAAAAAAATAAACTCTTAACTAAAACCTGTAAGACATACGTATAAATTGTAGTACTGTGCTTCAGTGCATTATGTTTTGGGTTGTTTTCTGACATTTCAAGCACAATTTTAAATATTATAACATCTTAAAATGTCTCTGTATGTTTTTTTACTAGGGCTAGAACATGGCCTTGCAGTTTGAGTGATAAGGCTGTACTTCTAACAGCAGTTGTCTCATTTTTGGCTAAATATTACCCAGCTGAACCTATGAAGTAATAAGCTAGACTTATGTCATTACAAAAGTATTCTGTTTTTCTCATGGAATAGCCCACTATATGAGGTCCTCTCCAGTGAACATTTTTATTGTTTCACAGGAAAATGCTTCACTCAGTGCAGTCATTATCGTAGGACCTTGATGTTGTGCTGTTAATGACTAAAGCATGTTTTTCATGTAAACAGACCTTTAATGACTGGTAGTAAAAAGCTCACGTAACATGTTGATGTTTTAGGATCTTGTTGGACAGAGCGCACACAGATGTAGGCAACATCTGCCAGAGCCTGGACTCTGACCCAGAGCCCGAACCACTCGCCTCACCACTTCCAAGCTCTCCGCTCCACATCTCCAACGCCAGTACCTCAGAAACCAATACCTCGGACCCAGCCAGCTCCTTCCACCTTCCCCCATCTTCATCACCCCTGTCGTCATTAAAACCGAAGGACCTCAGCCAGATTCTTTTGAACATTAAATCTTGCCGCTGGAGGCACTTCAGACCACGGACGCTATCTCATCACCCTTTGGGTGGAGATTTGTCACGCAGAGGATTTAGGGATTTTAGCTGGACTGTGTCGGGACTAAACCGAACCCTGTCTGGAGGAGCCAGCGCCCAGAATCGCATTGGGCCAGCTACCACTCCTGTAAATGGTAAGTCACTTGTTTATTCTACCATGCTGGTTATTATTTTTTAGGGATAGGTTTACATTACTCAGTCACAAGTGTCCCTACGCATCCAGTTAAATAACATTAGTTGTCTACATGGCTATAAAAAAAGTATACTGAAAGGTTTAAATCACAAATGTGGGACTCTCTGGGAAGGCTGTTTTCACTTTGTGTTTATTGTCATAGCTCTGAGTGGAAGATGGTAAAACACTGAATTGTGTGTTCGAAGAAATTGGTTCATCTGAGTAAAATATACATTTGTAAGACAATCTTTAATTGGAAATAGGCCAGCACATAAAATGTACAGGCAAATTTTGTTTTCGGAAATGTGTTGCTGGCATCAAATATTTTAAAAAACAGTAAAATGTTGGTTTTGGAGCCTTGGTACCACTGAGGATCACCTCATCTTTAAACAGTGCTTGCTTGGAGGGCGCTGAAATGAGAAAACCAATTCTTCTAGTTTTGAAAGCAGAGTGTTATCAAATGCTGGTGTAGATACAGTGCTATGCTGTCATGTAACTTCATTACTGAAATTTTGGACTGTGGAATAATAGATCTCGTGGGCCATTCAGTGTCCAGTTTTTATGCAGACAGTTTTCCTTTTTAAACCTTAGTCTTACTTAAAATGAACTAGGGCCTATTGGAGACTGTTGTATGCTTTGTTTTGTCTTTGCATGGTAAACATTTCAGTTGCGTTCAGTGATCCACTGTGTTCACTGACAGTGGTTTTCAGAGAGGTCCAGGAATAGATTTTTCACTACAGAACCTGCGTTAGTTTCCAGCTTTGGCTGCTGCATCCAGAGATTTATTTATTTTTTGTCTTTTGGTGTGCATTACACAATGTTGCTATTGATTTTTTTGTTTGTTTGGTTTTTTTTGCCAATGATCAAATTTTTTTTTTTTTTTTTTTTTAAGTGTTTTGAAGTTTTACGCTATGTCCCAACAGTTCTATAAACGCATTCTGTGCTCAAACGAAGTTTATTATGGCATCGGGAGTGTGCAGCCACTGCTAGCTCCATGTCACAACTATAAACACATCATTTTGTATTTTACTTACACACACACGAAGAAATACACTTTTGTTTTCAGTTAATTTTACAGCTGCTTTAATTATGGGTGTTCAGTCATCTTCTAAGAATCTGGAGACTTGTTTGGAGTGGGGTTTGTAGAGCACCGTGCTGTACTTTATGATTGTTTTCTTATTGCTTCTTGATTTTGTCAGTTTTCAGCTCATCTTGTGTTTACAAAAACACATCCTGCAGAATTGTTTTTCTGGGTTGCACATGGAGCAGTGCAGTTAGGTTTATCCACGCATAATGCAACAATAATGGTGTTAGTTGGCATTTATTTTGGGATGTGACCTGTGTAACATTTTTTTGATGAGGCACCTTAAAGGTAGATTGCTCTGCTCATGCCTAGTAAAATCACAAACTTTGTACTTTCGTTCCCCCTTTCCTTTTCATACATAAAATGATATGTTCCCCTAGCTTGGGGGATTCACTTAGAACATGGCTTTTTCTAAACAGATTTGGAATATCCTGTGAAGTGAATCAATGCTGGAGATAGGAAAACAGGGTGGTGATTTCAGAGACTGGGTAACAATTTAACCCTTTACAGGCGATCGGAGCGGGCACGCTCCATTTTGCGTAACTATTTTTAAATCCCGGTAGC